AACCCTCACCCAGCTATCTTTCTCGTTAAGAGTTTCATGATTCAAAAGAAGCTGTGTTGAAGAAAATTTACACAGATGCTTCGAAACTAATTTTTGTTGATATGTACACATTTCATACGACTTGCATTTATTAAAATGGATGCATGTCATTTTTTAGAAGTCATTTTTTGAGTGATTCATATCATTTTACTCTCAATAAGCTTACTAACATGAAGCACGAGCTTTTATGTAGCGTACGGGTAGACCTTGAATGAATTAATACTTTTTTGCTTTTTAATGTAAAGAGCAGAATAGTAGCTTCTGCAGTACTTCACATTTTTTGATTTTATTCTTCGCTAAGCAAAAACAAAATTCGCTCTTAGCAGGGTGAATAATGCGCATTATAGCATACTCTCGTGATACATACTTCGTTTTTTATACACTCTATGATGAAACAGGTGTGTTGCAGCTGTCGTTGTGAATATTAGCGAATCAGTAAGTAGAAAACGTACAAAGCTGACTCATGATTTCGGCTCCATCTCTTGATCCCATACTAGGTAAACATTTTCAAAAATGGGAAGTTCCGGGAGTATCAGCAACATTTGATGGGAAGTTAAAACTAAAGATAGGTATCTTTTGCGCCGATAGATGACTGAATCTGCGCTCAATCCTTTTTTTCGCAAGACTTCCATAATTTCTAGTAAAAAAGATACATTGGGCTCCTGAAACTGTTCAAATCTGTTTCCAGCGTTCATATCATCTGGACAGCTTTTTGAGCAGTTAAACAAAAGATGGTTTAGACAGCCCCCCTTGAACCAAAATGCTCCTCACGATAAGCTATAATACTTGCGGATCAAAGAAAATAAAGGAAAGCTCTCTGTCAGTAAATAGTTTTCCCAATTACTCTGCTTTGCATCACACGCATTTCTTCTCTTCTGAAATTTGAACCAGTAGTTCCTATGTCAGGAGGCCAAACTAGTTTTTTACTTGAGTTTCTGTCATTTTCACAAGGTTGACAGCAAATTTATCCACACGTAAGCACTGCAGAACATACATCATATGATCTGGAAGAACATATAAGACATATAAGCTTTTTAGTAGTTCCATATGTTTGACAAGTCAGCCATATGGCAGATACAGCTAGAAATAAGGTGATATAGTCACTTTTCCTAAGTTTCGCGAATCCAGGGCTAATTTGCAGCACCTATTTGCAAAGTTCAACCAAATTCAATCGATATTTTCACATTATTCAGCAAATCTATCAGATAAGCATCCAACAATCATCATGCTATTTCGTAGCTTTAATATATGGCATGTAACACCTGCATAACGTATCCACAACTCTTTTATCAAAAAGGTGGGGATTTATCGAATTTCAATTTGTGTGTGAAGCATGGGAAGCAGGAATCTTGTCGACTCATGGTGAGCCGATAAATCATAGGAATGCAGAATGATTGAAATTCAAAAAAATATTTTATGTTCCTTGTGAAACGCCGCATAGGTAATCCTATAATCTGCTCACTTCTCTATCTACCCACTCGGTACTGAGCATGAAATTGTGTTGACTCCGGCCACCTGAGGGCCAGTCACTGACCTTTTTAGGCACCATTCGTCATTACCGCATTCGTCTATCGAAATAAGGAGTTATGTACAACTGATAAGCATAAGCAATACTTTTATAGCAGAATATGTACTTATTGAACAAAGCTACAATATTTTTGCGCGAAAAAACTATCGTGTTCGGTCTAGATACAAGCCTACCTTATTTGATTGCTGCAACCTTTGATTCAACTGGCTTGGCTGCTCGAAGGCGGGCTTTGTGACCTAAGGAAGGTCGCTCGCGTCCGCGATGCAGTCTGCGTCTCTCTCGCGAGAGTGCTCTCTGATCACTACCTAGCCTTAATTATTTCGCGAAGCCCTGCATTCCAGCCGCCAACCCAGTTGAATTAAAGGGTAAACATGAAGAGTACAAGCAAGATGAATATTGTAAGGATAAATAGTGCTTAATGGAATTTTCGTAAAACGGTAGGGTAACATGTATAGAGTAAAAATAACCAGTTGAAGGAAATTCTGTAAACTCTCTCGATCTAGTAGGTAAAAAGGTATTGAACATCAAAACTAATGCGTAATAAGCTGCTAAAATATTAAGGTAGAAAATGTAGAACAATTCAGTAATAAAGGGGTTCAAGGTTTGTTGTAATCTACTCCTCTTAAACCCATAACAATTAGACATTGAACATCAAACTAATCCGTGATAGACATTACAAGGCAAAAGATAGGAATAACATTCTAATAACGAAGTTGAAGAAGTTTTGTTAGCTATCCCTTTCAACGCAGTAGTCAATAAAATTAGCATTAAACTTTTTACCGCTTTTTGAGCTATACCCGGCTAATAAAATGTTCAACTCTACTTCTACGAATACATACACCTGTGATTGCATTTCACCTAACTTAAATGACAGTTCTGTAATTATCAAAGCCCCAACTCGATTTCCGGCTCATGAAACGAGTGTGATAGCTACTAGCGGGGCTTAGCCTTGATTGCTTCAATCGAATCGCACCTTTGCTCTGTCATGGCTACAAATCTTTTGAGAAAATGAGCTAGTACTGGCGCTAATATACTCTAGTCTTTTGCTCTAGGACACCTCCCTACCTTTTTTGACTCTTGTTCCAAGTATAATGTGATGCCATAAATTGCTTGCGCAACCCTAAAATTGGGGATTGTTGATGGAATCTTGCGTGACGACGATGGATTTAGAGCCGTATGTTTGCAGAGCCCGAATCTGCATTGGATCTGCTCGAATGATTCCTATTAGAGAAGCATTGCATGCCAAGCTGCCTCCTGTCTCTTTGTTTTCACAATAATTTCGCTTGTTATTCTCTGAATATGTGATGGGAATTTCTAAAAAATCGCATTTGTTTCACTCTTGGCATTTCTTCTATCCGATGTTCTTGCTAAAATCAAAATTTTATCAAAGATTGCTTGGAAGTTGGCACAAATAAATAAAAAATAAGGTCGTTTGTGCCCAATTAAGGTAAGATTAATAGGAGTTACAAGTTTATTGGATGGGGTAAAGTTATTTAAAAAAAAGATGTTTTTGTCGAAAGAATAGGGCAGTATCATCAGGAGCCTAAGAAACAGCTTCACCTTACTTTTTTCAGAACGCAGAAAATTGGATGTAAACTTAAATTCCAGGTCACGTCATTTCTTTAATTAGCGCTTTTGATGCTGAGTTTTATATAAAACAGACAAAATTGATGGATGAGCAATCTTTGACGCAGACGTCTCGTTCGCATGGAAACAATATGTCCTATTCATTGGGCCTATTTTTATCTCTTATTATCATGATTCTCCAGACAAAAACTGTCATTTTATCTTATTGTTAGAAATAGGCGGAAACACAAATCATAACGATAAGACACGAATTCATATAATCAAAAACATTTTCAAAAGATGGGTTTTGTCGAGAAGCCTTTCATAATATTACTGAAGAAAGTTTTCTATGATTTTTATCTAACTCTAATCTTTGAGCCTCATCTTGGCTTCCTATAAAGAGCAAAGTTGAACTTATCGCACCCTCGGGGATAGCGGCTCGTACGAGCTGCTCATTGCTTTTTCAAATCACGGCTACATGATGTTATAAGCAGCTGCCGATAATAAGTAAAATGATCGTTGAGGTTTCCTTTTGAAATTTCGTCCAACCAGTTCTCTGCATTCTTTATTGAAGATCTGAGCTAGTAAGTGCAAGATTTATTTTCCCATTGTTTGAACACAGTGGAAAGCAACTCCTTGAAAATGATTGGCTGTTCATGTCATATTGGAGGCATTTGATTATATAAAATTGCAGTACTTAGTATTTCGACCTGGCGGAAATTTAATACTTGTTAATACATCCGAGCCCAATTTCGTACTCAAGATCGACTTCCAGACTTGGTGTTACCTATCTGATTCTATAGTGATGAATTTGGAGTTGAAAATAGTTTGACTTGATTTTTAAAGGAAGGAATTTTCTTGAAGCATCGATGACATTTCTTCCCACCCCACACCTCCTCATCGAAAAAATTCTGTGACTGCGTTATTTGATGACAGTGGGAAAAAATACACCACCACCGTCAATTAATCGTTTTTATTGCGAAAAGTTTCTCATAGCTCTGTTGATTTCCTCAAAAGAATACGACATTGTCCTCCAGAAAAGAGAACATCGTACTCTTTTGCTGTAAGCACCTTCTAAATTTTTCTAGGATAAGGATCTGCGAATCTGGGAAAGAGATTCGCCCCCTCATTAACAGATACTGCACATTCCATAAGCTTTTATTAGCTTCGTTCCATATGTTGTCGTGAGCGGTAAACTTTCTTATTATTGCAGACCATCTCTTTTCAGGAACTAATCGTAAGAATGTTATTCCTTTCATACATCAGGGATTGCCCTTGTGCTCATATATAGAGATTTAATGAGACCTTAAAACTTTTCTGTTTGTTTAGAGTAAGAAGTTCTAGCTTGGCATTTGCAATAAAAACCAAGAAAGTCGCTATAAAATCTGAAAATCTGACAGATCAAAAGTCGCTTCAATCCTCTATTTCATTTGCCTGACATTTTTGCAGATTATGTAGGCACATTCAGAACCTTTTTTTGTTCAAAATGAGTGCATTTTCAAACTTCATCATCATTTATGGACTCTAAAGCTGTGATTAGAATCACCCCACAGCGTCAATCTGCTTATTAAGCCTCGGGTGCTCAGACGTCAAAGGCTATAAATTATCGCAAAGCACATCTTTTTAACCTGCAATTTTATACCTCCAAACACCAACTAACCTAGATTAGCCTTTCCTAACAATCCTGGAGATTGCTCTCGACAGCTGTAAAATTTCAAATAGTCCATATAATTTGCAGTGTCCACCTGTTCCTTTATTTAACCGCACAACTTTGCATTTCAGAACTCAAAATGTGCACATCTCACCTTTTTTATCACGTTGTCTTTTTTTTTCAATTTTCACCAAATCTATTTGGACATTATTTCAGCGACAGCACCGCAAAAATGAGATGCCGAATGCGAAAGCAGTTATTTATACAGCGAAATAAGGTGAGAAATTCCTAAACATTTGTTTTGGTGCTGATCTATATCTGTGAAAAAAATAGTGATACGTTAGAGCAAGAAATTTTTATTTCGAGAAGGAACACTTCGATTATCTTTGGGACATTTTGAAAAAAGGCTCATTATGAACCAATCAAGTTGTCTACAAATTGAGTGGAGTACATCTACCAGCAGTAATCGCAATCAGTTTATTTCATCTTGCTCACAATGACTTTTTCCAGGTTTGCGATCTGTCGCTGATTTTGGGCATTGCTGGTCTACTCTTTGTCATTATTGATGCCGAACTCACAGCACTTTCACCGAATACTCATATCACAAAGGTAATTATACTTTAATTACTCTTTTTGACCCTGTAGAACTTGAATATGGGCTATGAAACCCGAGAAGATTGGGGGAAGTCATTCATAATCGGAAAAGCCTTGAAGAGTATTCTTGGTATTTTCGTACATATCAAATTGCACAAACATCTGACGAATGGTCATGGATTGCTTCGCTCAAGCTTGACATTGTTGCGAAAAAAAAAGACCATTTACAGGAAATTGCGCAAAAATAAACAAACTGATTTAATGAGTCAGAAGGGATAATAACCAGCAAACTTCTATTCTAAGCGAAAATTTCAGTGTTTTTCCTGGCAAAAATATTTCTGATTCCAGGGTCACAATGTATCGTTATTCTTACGCTCCTTAGCCGTGCTCACAACAATTTGCCTCATGTGTTGTCTCATTAACTACCATGCCATAGAAGTGAGTTTTATCTATTCGCAAATAACAAAAGGTTAGTAATACTATTGCTTCAGTAACCAGAAAAATCTGATTATTCCTTTCTGAATGTTACAGTAGCCCTTAAGTTTCATGAAAAATTCTTCAGTCTGTATGTATAAATCTGTTTTATGGTAATTCGTAGTAGCAAAAATCTTAATTTTAGGTAAAAATAGCATTGATTGACTCGGGCGCCGATGATTGGCGAGTAGCAGTTAGTACGGAACGGATTATCAAGCTCTCGATGGAGTTAGCAATATGTGCTGTGTGTCCATTTCCAGGTTAGTGTGCACTCACACAAAATTTTTACCAAAAAATTTTTTGAACAAATGATCTGAACTTGACGACAGCATTCACCTAAATTTTCGTCTTCCATGTTTTTGTCATTCTGGGGTCTTTCCGTGATTGCGCACATAAAGTGCAAATTTTGCAAAACTCATAAAAATCCTACTTCTCCTCATCCTGAAGGCATAAACGACTTTCATTCCTGAAGAGGCGGAGCTTAATAGGATGGGTGTGGCTTAATGGTACTTTCGCGGCCCAAGTCTATTTTTTCCATTCAGAGGCCACATTAAAGGCAGTGTCCGGGCAGAAACTCGATTTGGAGATTTTGTGCTTACTTGGGCCTATTCGCTACGCTGAATCCAAAATGCACATTGTAGAGCGCGAAAATGGCGAAAAACGGCTCTAACACAAGAGGGAAATGAGCAGGTGGGCGGGGTCCTCCCCACTGCGAATTCACGTTCCCGGTTTCCGGAGCGACCTTCTCGCTTCCGGTTTCAAGTCAATCATTCGCACTTGACCGGTAGCGATGTTAGGACGGCTAGCGGAATCGAGAAAATCGCTCCGGGAGCTGGGAGCGTGAAATCGCACTAGGGAAAGCTCCGCCCACCTGCTGATTTCCCTCCTGTGTTAAAGCCCTTTTTCGCCATTTTCGTGCTTTCCAATGTGGATTTTCGGATTCAGCATGGCGAATAGGCCCGTATAAGCACAAAATCTCAAAATCGAGTTTTTGCCCGGACACTGCCTTTAAAGGACCGAGCCAAAGGAGATGCCTCTCTCGGCTTGCTTTTGGGCTAGGTATAACCAGGGTAGCATAGATCTTGCCTGCATGCTGCCTTTGAGTTTTTACAGTCAAAAAAATGTACGTCAGTACAACACACATGATAAAGCAGAAAAAGTTGTCCAAGAGAAGCATCGAAATTTTTGAATTTGTGAGGCACTCCAAGCTTCCTATTTGCGGCTTTGTAATTACGGATCATGATTTCAAAATCCATTAATGTCCTTCGCTCTATCCAGAGTAATGGCAGAACAGGATCAGGATAAAACCATCATAGCGACAATTTCTTTAGGCTCTGGGACTATTCGATGGCCTTTTATCTCGCCAGAAACTCGCCGTGTCAAAATGGTTGACGTACCCATTGATGTACTGCTGTCCGTTCCCATGTTTCTACGATCCTACCTTCTTTGTCGATTTATGGTCCTACACAGCAAGCAGTTCCAGGTAATTTTCATCTGACCGAGCTTTCCGTCACTAAAAATGTCAAAGCCAAGGAAATTTGAGAACCCGAACTTATTATGTGGAACCTCATTAAGGGGAGTTGAAGGGGAGAGAGATTTTTAAACAAACCACTGCTCAAGCGGCAGTCATATGATTCATTCATGGGCGTGAAAATTAATGTCTAAACTCTCGCCCATTACCGTAGTCTTTCCAATAACAGTCAACATTTATGAGCGGCGTACGGTCCGGGCAAAAAGTTGAAAAGTCACAACCGCGAAATTTTAATCGTGCCCCTTGAGTATTGGTTAGCTAGTCACTTAAATTTACATAAAAAAGCAGGTACCCAAATAGAGTATATTCAGAATGAAAATTCATCAAATTTGGCTTTTTCTAGGATGCTGCCACTCGTTCGATAGCGGCCCTGAATCGTATTTCAATGGACTTCCGGTTTGTTATCAAAACGATGATGGCAGATCATCCGTTGCGAGTTCTGATCGTATTCACTGTATCGTATTGGATCTGTATGTCATGGATGTTTACGCAGTGTGAAAGGTAAGTAAGCGACTCGCAGCAGATTAGAGAGATTAGTTTGAGGGCATTATGAAGTTTGTGGGGGACTAAGAAGATAGATCGAAAACAGGAGTTTGAAGTGTTGGGTGAGTATACAGGGCCTTAATAAGGTCTTGGAGGTGGCTGTAGGTGTGAATTAGGAATACCTCAGAACGTTCTTCACCTCTTCGTTACCCACCGTACTTCATTTGTTTTTTAACACAGAATTAATTCGCTCCTAGAAGAGTTATTTTGCAGGTACGATGGCAAACTAGATGTTGAGCACTACTATCTGAATTCAATGTGGTTCATCATGGTTACGTTCATGTCTATCGGATATGGTGACATCGTGCCAAACACCTACTGTGGAAGGACCCTTTCTATAACGACCGGAATTGTGGTAAGTAGAAGGCAGTTGCTTATCTTGATGCCTAGAGATGGAACCTGCGCCACAGATTCAAGTAAAAAAAAGAAAAAAGCCAGCGTTACTTATTTCATTGATTTTCGGAAGGGATGGATTTTCATTGGTACATGAACGCAAGTTACAACGCAGTTAACTTTCAGAAACCTACTATAATTCAGAAAGTTGCGATTCATTTCAACACTTAACTTTAGTGGCTTCCTTTTTTGACCATGTAAAGTTGGAACTTTTTTTCTGAATCCGGTCTAATGTTGGATTGATTTGAAAGTTGGAATTCCATGTTTATTATTATTTTTTGTTGTGCAACTAGGCCTGAGTTGGAGATATATTGAAGGAATAATGTAATTTAAACAAGTTTTTAAAATCTTAGGAGAATGTTCTAGGGTGCTGGAGTCTCATCAGCGCTTATTGCTGTCATCTCAAGAAAGCTGGAGCTGAGCCGAGCAGAAAAACATGTGAATAACTTCATGGCAGACTCTAAGCTGACTAATCAACGAAAAAATGCCGCTGCTTCAGTGCTGCAGGAAACCTGGTGAGTTAATTATTCATTATCCTAAGCATATTTGGAACACTAACATTCCAGGTTCATCCACAAGTACAAGAAAGCGCTGCACAAAGGCGATGAACTACGCCTTCGTCAACATCAGCGACGTTTCTTGCACTCTATCAACGAGTTTCGACGAATAAAATGGGATCAGCGCAAACTTCAAGAGAAAGGAAACTCTTTGCTTGATGTTGGAAAGGTAATAGTTTACTGGTTTACCCTTTTGTTCGAGCAATTTTGATACCTGGATTCTTCTATCGACTGGGAGGCTTTGACTAAGCCACTCTATATCCTCATCTTTAAGGAACCCGTCATACTTCGCCGAAAAACGCCCAAAAACGTCCAAAAAGCCCAAAAAAGCCAGAAAAATCTCGAAAGTGCAAGAAGAAGCCGGAATGCAGAAACGATTTTTTGGTAGAACTCTGACATTAATCTGATGCGCAGACGACATGAATGAACCAAAAAGATCGGTTGCGAAACACATGCCTTAGCACCAAAATGTGCCCGCGGAAGGGGCGTCCAGGTCTTTCTTGCGCTTTTGGGCCTTTTGGGCCTTTTTGGGGGCTTTTGAGCTTTTTGGGCTTTTTTGAGCGCTCTTGGGCTTTTCTCGGCGAAGTATGACGGGTCGCCCGTACCGTACCCAGGAAGAAGGTCGCTGATTGACTCGCTTGGAAAGAGTAGGGTATTGAGCAAGAGTTTGATGAATTCCCAATTGTGGGCTCTCTGAACTGCAGCATGGGCAACGGCTCAGTTAGAGACCCCAATAAGTTTCCCATATATAAAGCCTACACTCTCATATTCTGAATACTGTTTACGAGGTTGAAACTTTTCTAAATTTGTCGATTGCAGCTTCACTCCGACATGCATGAAACTCTATGGGAGATGCATCGAGCTCAAGATCACTTCATTTCCCAAATCGACATGCTCACCCAGAAGATCGCCGAACTTCAGCAGACACTTTCACAACAGGCCATCACCCCACAAAGCGCCTTAGTAGCGTGCTGTTCGCAACCGCTCCCGCCTCCAACTCCGATGAACGAGCTTCCGCTCCAACCACTGCTCAACTCCAGCGCCAGCATACCTCGCATCTCTCTGGGAAACAATGGTTTTCATCACAACAATAACGGATCGCTGAGCAACGGTTGCATGATACCCGATTCGAAGCTGTACAGTCAGTGTCAGGTAAGCATGATTCTTCGCGTGAAAATGTGGAGAAAATTTGAATTGAAAAGTTCATGACTTCATTTGTGACTTAGAGACACCGTTCACCCAAACTAACAAAGAAATGGTCAGAGTTCAACCCAGCCATTCCAAACAGGCTGTATAATATCGGACTCGTCTTAAAACGCTGATCTCAAATATATATTCATTTGCTAAACAACTATGTAGAAGGAGTTATGAGTATTTGAATGTGCGGTTTTCCAAGAAGTCAAAGCTCACGTTCCTCGAAAAAAACGTTCCAAAAACGCTTATTTAGGTTTTAGATGAATGTGCTTCTTTCTTTTAGTCAGAGTACTCATAACCACTGCAATTACGTGCTCTCAAACTGCCTTTCAGCAAACTTTATTCATTGGAACTCAAATAATTTCTCATATTTAAACACTCACAACTCCCTCCAAACATTATAGTTGCTCGGCAGATATTGAACATATGCCTGACAGGGTTTCACAGCGGGTCCAATGATATGAAGCTTGTGTGAAGTGGTTAAAGGCAGTGGCTCGGCAAATCTCAACCTAGTCAAATTTGCGCTTACCTGGGGTTTTTCAGTACGCTGATCCCGAAAATCCACTTTTGAAAGCTTGAGAACGGCGAAAATGAGCGTTTTTCAATGCCCTTCCCTATGATATTGGACAGGTGTGGCCTGCGCGTGTAAGTTCGAGAGCGATTTTCTCGGCAGGGAAAGCATGCTGTGCAACCGTGATTGCACTGTTTTCTTAGTTGGGCGATAAGGAACCTACCGCGTTAAAATCCCGAGTTGTTGGATTTTGCCGATCCACTGCCTTTAAGGCAAGGACGATTCCCTACTAAGGTTGATGAAATTTTGATGTCTTGTAATAGCGGGTTCCACTAAACAATCGCCCAACACTCGCTGCAAAAGATGAATTTCAAAGCGAAAAAATCTGTTTAGAAAGTAGAAGAGGCTACGCTGCCTCCGCTCATCAAGGTCTGGGTGGTCTGAAGACACAAGTCTGAAATTGGGCTTTACGGTAGACCAAATTATGGTAAAGGGCGGATCTATGACAATCTTGGATACACTGAAGCCAAGTTCGGATTTGTCATCTCAGAGCACCTACGCTGATGGACGGAGAAAGCGTGGCCGCTTTTGGATGTTCGTGCCTGATTCGCGAAGATGACCTGTCCCTCTTTTGGGACTAGAATTTGTTCTCACTCATTTTTCGGATAATCTGATGCATACTGCTGTAAAAGCAATAAAGGAAGTCTAAAACCGACGTTGTAAGCCCACACTAAGCAAAACTTTATTCAGGTCGATCAACGCGCACAGTGTCCAACAGGAGGCATGTACGCAACCGTTACGACACCATTGATGCACTCATACGAGGGCGTTTGAACTAATCCGCTGATTTCTTAATCTACGATACGGTCAACAAATCGGGTTATGTATCGGCTGGTTAAGCACATTCCGAGTGATGCTGAACAAGTTGTGTTATGCGTTACGAGAGGAGCAGCTTCGGACACACGTAGCGAGGACGACAGCTTCACTGTGCTCCACAGTTCGCAGTGATGATATTACCCAAGTGCATTGATTTGTAACGGGCGTAGTAGAACTACTATATGAAATGGCAAATTAAACAAATTGGAGTTGTTTACCCTTTAAATATGTGTGAACTTCGTACGTAGGAAAAGATAATTTGAACTCTATAGAACTGGTCAAAAATCGTTGTTATCACAGCTATTATGGGTAATATTCGGTTCATTAGTTTTATCGTCGATGATTTTGTATTAAACTTGGACGATATAGACTACTCTACTTGTACGGTTCTTTGAACTTGAAAATATCTGTAACCCTCAACTGACTCTGATATGACACAAGCTCCTTATGTCGCTCATCTGACTCTATATATTGTGTACCCCTCATATTCTACAGACTGCAACCTAAGGTAAAGTTCCTGGTTTCAAGCACAAATTTCCTACTATCCAACAATCCACTGGTCACCTTGTACATACATATCTCAACAACATCTCAATGTTGAACTAACGTGTCCCTTGTAATTCTAGTCATCACAATCGCAGATTTGATTTATGACCAAATACATTGAGATTACATGCGTGTTTTCTAACCAAGTCAATCCATGTGATGAAGGTTGATTATCTAATTAGCGCACACTAAGAATTGTTTTTTTGGTACACTACTATGTTGTTACGTATGATTGAATAAAATTACGATATGAGCGGCTGCTGTAACCATAGATTTCACAAACTTGGTGTAATTCATGTGCGCTTTGCTCTTCACTATGCGCCCAACTTGCTGAATACGGTAGATAAGAAGCACTGATAGTGTGGCTTATCTTCAATCATAAAGATAACCATGACAAGTTGAAATATTTCCTCGAAAATCTCGCAGAAAGGTACTGTACATCTTACAAGGCCAGACAGCAAACATATAATACATCTTCTTAAAAGTCAAAAGACGTTGCAACATCAACCATACAATGTATGATAAACCTGAGAAGCATGAGAACATGGCAAATTTTCAAACATGTGACTACTCCATAAAATGATCTAGTTCCTAAACTGCATAAAATAAGCGATGCTTGCTCCAATAAAGTTACTATCTTTGTTTGATGTCGCCATGGCACCCGTGAATGAGAGGTACTCAACTATCAGTCAGAGTTGGGCGGGATATTTATATTTTTCGTCATCTCATCGAAAGCTAATTTGTCAACGTAAGCGTTCCTATCCAATGAGATTAGCAAGGGTTTGTTGTGGACGAATGCTGTCGCTAGTGGAATCCATACCTAAAATCGTCCAAAAAACACTACACGGTGGCTGACGAACATTTTGTAAGAACTTTTTTGTTGGCATTGCGGCACTTCGTAGAGCCTGGAAGCCATAAATCATGAAAATCCATCCGTTCCGACGTCGCATCGCCTACTAACTAGAACAAAACTCACCTAAGATTTTTGAGCACAGGAGTTCAAGGACCGCTTACAAGAGTCTGCCTCTAGTCTTTTCTAAAGCATTCCTCAACACGGGACCTCATCTACATTAGCGTAAGATTTGATAAGGCCCGAACCCTCTACGACACATATTTCTCCTTCCTATTCATTTTAGCGTTTGCCGCTATTCCAAAACGCCTACAAAGTCTTGCGCGTGTTGTGCAAAGATCTTTACAGCAATTTGCTTCTAGCCTGTTCAGCCTTTTCTGTCCTTTCTACGCGACAACACTTGAAGCGCTTCAATTCGCAATGTATGTGTTGCACATAATAGACACGAGGCAGATAACCCTAAATAGTGGACAGCCACCATTCTACCAAGCGGGCAAACCATCCTTAGGATCACCAGATGAACTGTCACGGGCGCAATGGCTGCGCAGTGGCTGCATCCACGAATTGCAGATGCGAAAATCGTATCCAGCTGATTTCTCAGCTTGTCCATCCGTTCCACGAACACGTCTGCCCATCTCGTTGGAGGTCTTCCTCCAGGACGTTTTGCTTCGCGAAAAATCCACTGCAATGTTCTTAGTGCCCATCCGTCGCCTGTTCTTCTCAGAATATGACCGGCCCATCGATTCTCCGCTTTCGCAACGTAATCCGCTGGGTCACGAAGACGGGACATTCTCCTTCTCATTCTTCTCATATTCTTCTTATTCTACTTCTTCTTCTCATATCTCACTCTTCTCCCTACTGCGAAGTCCGACAAGATGTTGTTTGTTCGGGTCACCTTCAGAAGACTATGCTCAAGCGCTCCGTGTGTGATCCTCAAAGCTTTCGACGTGGCTACGGTGTCAGCCCATCTTAGCTGCGTAACAGAGCGCCGGGAGAACGGTTGAGTCGAACAGGTGGGCACGAAGCTCAGGGTCCGTCAGTTGGTCCGTGGCTTCCTTTAGAGGCCCGAAGGCGGCCCAAGCTGCTCTTCTTCTCCTGTTAAGTTCTTCCCCGAGTCGTTCTCCATGTTCATCGAACGTCCGAGATATACGTACGAAGACGTCTCCATGGATAGGGGTGCCTTCCAATTCCATTTCTGCATCTTCGCAAAGGGCGTTCTTCATGAACTGAATCTTTTTCCGGTTTATTTGCAATCCGATCTTCCTCCCTACTTCGTTCAGTTCCTTCAGCATCGTCTCTGCTTCAGTTATACTGCTTGAAAAGAGAACGATGTCGTCCGCAAAACGAAGGTTCGACAGGAATCTCCCATCAACTCGTATGCCTCTTTCTTCCAGTCCAGTGACTTCATCACCCACTGCAAGGCCGCGTTGAACAGCTTCCGCGAGATTATGTCGCCTTGTAGGACCCCTTCCCAATTAGGATGGTCAGGGGGCGGTGAAACAACTACATCGCCGTTGTACACTTCTTGTAGTAGTCGGCTAACGTCCTCACGTAAGCTGGGTCCACTCCTTGGTCGACTAAGGGTTGTTTCATACTGCCGCACTGACTGCAGCAGTCTGCACTGACCGCAGCAGACTGCAGCAGACTGCACTGACTGCAGCAGACTGCAGCTGACCGCACTGACCGCAACGACCGCAGCGACTGAAGCCTGCAGGCGGAGAGGATAAATAGTTGTGCTTTGAACAAACGACAACGATATTTACGTAAAAGCAAAAGACAACAAGGTTTACAATGTTACAAAACAGATATATGCAATGATAGGAAGAATTAGAACAAATACGAACATACCAAAGAAAACTATGGCCAAAATTTGATTGAGAAGAATTCTGATGGAACTTATGATCTTCTTATGCGCGAATCACGCTGTTTTGATAATCGCGGTTGTTTTTTCTTCTAAGAAAAGAGGCTGCGACCGGTGCGGTCAGTGTGGTCATTGCGGTCAGCTGCAGTCAGCTGCAGTCAGCTGCAGTCTGCTGCAGTCTGCTGCAGTCAGCTGCAGTCAGCTGCAGTCTGCTGCAGTCTGCTGCAGTCTGCCGCAGTCAGTGCAGTCAGCTGCAGTCTGCTGCAGTCTGCTGCAGTCAGTGCGGCAGTCTGAAACAACCCTAACGCTGACAGGATGGCGTTGGTTTAGACGCTGTCAAAGGCTTTCTTGTAATCGACAAAGGTTAGGACGAGAAGCAGTCGGTGCTCCCGGCAGACTTCTATGACCCTCGAAACCGTCGTATGGTCTATGCAGCTGAATCCTTTGCGAAAACCCAGCTTTTTCTTGGGGTTGGGCTTTATCCTGTGTCCTAGATATGCGAGCGAGGATAATCTTCGTGAAAAGCTTCTACAGCACACTCAACAGGCATTGGACGGTTCGAAGATCCTCCCGTTCACCCTTCTTGAAAAGAAGGACGGTTCTTGTCTTTTCCACTGGTTGGGAATCCTTTCCTTCTAAAGGTAAGATGTTAGTTGCGACGCGAGAATCTCGTAATTGTCATCCGGCTCGCAGAAATTCGACGGAAAGATGGTCTGGTCCTGGAGCCGTGGACGTCTTCATGGTCTGAATCGCCGTGCGCACTTCAGCAGGTAAAATTCGTGGGGTACTTCTCCAGTGGGAACAACGAGTATCGGCACGAGTGTTGATGAGCGGAAGAGGTTGGTGTAGAAGTTCTTCGCGATAGATTCCATCTTGTATCGGGAAGAAGTCGAGTCCCGTCCTCGTTCAATAGTGCAGTCAGCGGCACGTGATATTCATAGAGGTCCCTTCGGCACTTCTTGAGATTTCGTCTTCCTTCGGTTGCTTCCAGTATCTTGGCTTGCCTGTACTTCCTAAGATCCTCCAGCAAAGCGTTCCGCAACTGGCGTAGGCGGGTTGCATTCGGATCCTGCCTCAGAAATCTTCTTCTTTCGAGCATTTCCTTGGTGGTCTTCGAAATGCGTTCCAAGTTCTTCTCAAAAATTACCAAGCCGCACTCTCCGCAGGCTCGCAATCCTTTCAGAAGCCGGTCGTAGTCGTACGTTGGGTCCTCTTCGATGGGCCATTCACAACTTGATATGAGGTCCACCAGCCAGCTCCACCATCATGAACGACATTCTTCCTTCTTGCGGCAATGTGGCAGACTTTCTTCTCCAGCTTTCGACTGAACTGTACCTTCGCTCGAAGGAGACGGTGACCGGAGCCACTATAGGATGGAACTACTGAGACATCGAGCTCCACCTTCGGTTGGCGAGAATGTGGTCGATCTCCGCGTGAGTCGTTCCGTTGGGCGAATCCCAAGTCCACCGGCGACGTTCTTTCTTCATGAAGAAAGAATTTCCATGGAATAGTCGTGCGGCGCAGAGAAGCCCAACAAGACGGTTGCCGTTTTCGTTCCGGAGCCCATATCCAAACTTCCCGATCCTATATTCCTTTTCCAGTGGCATCCCGATTTTCGCGCGGAAGTCGCTCACAACAAACTTGTAGAAGGACTTCTCGTTGCGAACGTGCCGGGTTTGTAAGGTGGAATTTTTTATTGGCCGTACGTTTCGAAAAATCGTCTTCGCCAGAGGCCTTTATTCACCGTAATGTTAGTGAGATTCAGCAGAGTCAGTACTTAACCGCGGCGAAGAGACAGACTAAGAGCGAGGAACAGGAAAAAAGGATACCATAGTGCTTCGGTGCGCATGACAGAAGGGCCATCTGACAAGAGAGGTCCTTTGGTCGAAGTGGACTTTTCACTTGGAACTGATAAGACTATGAGCATCGAACGCTGATTCCGAATTTAGCATCGAACGCTGATTCCGAATTTGTCTTCGTTATCTGCCGAACGCCTCTAGACGTCAAGTTATAGCGTTTTTTTAGCTAAAAAATTAAATGCATATATAGAACAAAATTCTTTAGAAATGCTCATATGGTCCAATGTTGATTATGAGGGCACTCCATTTGTCAATACCGTTGTCCAAAACACATACTCAACACTGCTCTATTTCACCGCTGAAAAGACTGCAAAATTTGATCTCACCTAAATCATGCGTTCATTTTTCGCATTTATTAATTTTTTCATAACTCGGTACGCAGAGGCGCTCGGCAGATAATGAAATCAGATTTGGAATCACCGTTTGATGCTCTTCAAATGATATAAAACTCATTTGGAAAGGCCAATTCGACTGATCGGACCTTTCTTGTGAGTTCTAAGTAAGTAAGAATAATGCAATCAAGCGACGATGCACGTAAGGAAAGGAAGAGCAAAGGAGTAAGATTTTGAAGATCAGGTTGAGTTCAATCTTCTAGGAGATAATTTTTGCCTCAAATTCTCCGACAAAAGATAGCATTTTTGAGAAAAAATAAAGAAATCAGAAATCTGAGAACTCCAAAAAAATCTAAACATACCTTATTCATTTCTGGAGCGACTTGAGCGTCTACTACATCGCTTGCTTTGAACTGTCTGGCCATTTTCCTCAGGAAAAAATTGTAATGCACAGATGTGAATGTCTGCAAATGATTGCTTGGGTACTGTCAGTGTGAAGCACTGGACAAGTATATCCGACGTTTTCTCTTTACTAAAGCTACGTTGCAAAACCAGAATCGACCCTAGTCATAAGAAAACCTAGTGGTGAGGACGAGTAACAACAGTTTATGTAACCAAGAGAAGTGGCAACTACATTCCATATTGCCATAACTAGCGTTTCTAATATCCCTGAAGGTTACAGACCGGCGAACGACCGCTAGTTCAAAAGTAGTCGTCAATAAGGGCTAAGGAACTCAAAACTGGACATTTATCAAGCGGCTAATTAGAGAGAGACCTATTCAGACCCAGCCGCAGGCTTCGCTCAAGCCCAGGATGAAACAAATGTGGGAAAGACAAGAAAGCAGTTTTCCAACAAGACTGTTATCTGCTCATTGCATGCAGTTCATCTTGCGTTTCGGTTATGGTAGGTTTCCGACACGACTGATCGAGACTACTATCACAACCGCCATGCAAGATAATCGGCATGCGGTGAACTCGTAACACTTGTATTGTGGGGAATCGTCAGGCGACGCAATCGCGTGATGTATACGCGACCATGTACCGGGTTTGCTGATGGAAAGAACCACAGATGCATATTGTAATTCAATGAAGCTGAAAACGCTCGAAAAGTTTACAACTTACTACCTTAGTATCGTGGTTGTAGTAGATGTTGATAGGAAAGCGTTTCACCAAAAAGTGCAACAATAGCGGAGTGAATGATAGCAGCACCAGAAGAGTGTTGGCCACTGAAACCAGAAGATAAATGTAACATACAATCAAACCAGCTTCGCTGGACAGAAGGGAAAGCCTTCGACGCAGATATCATAATTTGAAAGAAACTCTTCGTGTTATAAATGAGAAAAATACATTTACAAAGGCCAAAGACTAGGGAACAAGTATGTCAGAATTGAATGACATATGCATAATCGCAAGATACCAACTTATAGTGAACATCATCATTGCTGGCCTTTCAGCTGCCGCATCCCAAAGATACGTGTTCAAAATGGGAACCATAATTACACCCGCCACTGATGAAGAGAGTGACAAAACCTAAAAACGCAGATCTGACAAGGGAAGCGTCTTTCGTCGAAGTGGCCTTTCCACATGGCACCTATATCACTTTGTAGAGCATTGAACGGTGATTCCAAATCCGTCTTCCATATCTGCCAAGCGCCCCTGGAGGCCGAGTTATGGGCATTTTTTAACTCGAAAAATTGAATGCACAACTGGAACAAAATCGTCCAAGATTGCTCAAATGGTCAGGTGTTCATTATCGGAGCACTTCACTTGATGAATACCTTCTGTCTAATACCCTTATACTCAACAGTGCTTTATTTCAGCGCAGGAAATATTTTAATTACTGTTTTTACATAGATTCTGCGTTCATTTTTTGCTCTAAAAAACACTCATAACTCGGCGCCCAGGGGAGCTTGGCAGATAGCGAAAACAGATTTGGAATCAGCGTTTAATGTCTTTAAAGTGGTATAGGACTCCTATGAAAAGGCCACTTCGACTAAAAACGCTTCCCTTGTGAGTAAGAGTAGGTCGAGAAACTAGAAGGAAGCATAAATAAACCGTGCGTGTGTTTGTGAACCAAACAAACCTTTGTAATAAAAACGCCAGTGGCAACCACATCATGCGGGCTTTTTGGCGAGCCTGGAGGCATCGTGTCCTTGCATAAAAGAATCGAATGTCCGAGCTCATCTGGCTTCAGAGTTGACAGAGGGACTACGTCGTTTCGCGTTTGTTTAGCTGCAAGCAAGAAACAGTGGTTGGGCTTACTGAAGTTTATATTACATATGTTTGACTAGGAAACTTTTGAAGAATTCAAATATTTTGAGCAGCGACGAAAAAAATTGTGCCTCGAACTGTGATTCGTTCCAATTTACTGCAATTTTTTCCTCAGTCGCAAAGTGGTATGAAATCTTGGTTCCCAGTTAAGTCACTTTCTATTTTCTAAACTCTCACAGCAATTTTGCCTTGTAGATTCACGCTATGGACTACACTCCGCACTTTATGTTCAATACATTGGAAGCGCTCAATTCACGTCGGAAATAACGAATATTGGCAGCACCGAGTGACAAATGCAAGGTTCTCCAACGGACCAGGTTGCAACTATGTAATTTTTCCAAAATCTCACCTGCACTGCTGAATCGCAAGCAAAGAGCACACCGTCGAGATAATCGAGAGAACAATAGCCTTTGCACTAGCATCAAAGTTTATTTCGAACGAGCCCTGAGGGTATTAAGATATATTATTGAAAACTCTTTACACTCGCGAAACACCAGCAAGGACTCCATGATAAATCAAGTTCTTATCAGTTTGTTCGCACCATTTACAGCAATTCATAACTTCTTATTTTCTTCTCTGAGATATGGAATTATGAGCTTTACAACAGCCTCTGGAAGAATTTCTACCACGCAAATACTGAAGAGATAGAAGCTGCAGAAGAAAACTACTCAGATTTAAACTCTTTGCAGAATTGCCAAAAATTTAACTTGCGCTAGAAATCGGGCAGTTGTTACTGTGAGTTTCATTATCTGTACTTTCTACCTGAGGAAACCTTGTCCTGATCAAAAGTTGTATTGCACAAATGTTTTGAGAAATTGAGAAATTATGAATGAAAACGGCGCGAACTAACTTTCGGGCCAACCCAATACGATTATTCGTAAAAATCGGCGCGTTGTTCACCCGAATAAAGTAGTAAATATGAATTATTTTGGCTATTGAACCGCATCTAACCTATTTATGCGAAAAGTGGGCGAATCAAATTCAAACCAAAACGTCTAAACTGATGCAATTCCTTGATGTTATCTGGGTGCAGCGGAAACGATAACTTTTGAAAAGTCCTCACTGCTCTGGTCAAAACTACCAAGTACTATGAACCACATGTGCCGTCTCATGTTACTGATAGCATCTATATTAAACATTTATTTGCATTGCCATGAACTGTAAAGAAATCAATACATATTCTCTGTAAAAACTTTGATATTTTGAGCTTCATTGCTATCTTCAGCTTCCTCCGCCTGGTTCTCAACCGTATCCCCGACCATTGGTTCCTCGTGAGTTTCAGATATATATGACGGTCCTGGCTCGCTCGAGTGGGTCGGAAAACGGATTCTGTAAAGAAAGTGGATACTGGGATTTCATGAAAACGTCCACTGAGTACATTGTAACTCCAATCTTCCTTTTGCTAGGACGAGTACGTGACGCGACGCACCCTTTTGAGGTTGTGGGTTCTGTGTCATCCGTGTTTGAACTGCTACTATCACCTGCCTTCAACAGATCCAGTCCTCTTCTATGCTTACCGGTGATTCTGGTCTGGAAAATGCATTCTCTTCAGAGTACAGCACAAAAACACAAACTGGGGTTGAACAGAAAACTACACTACATTAGAAAACGTATATTTTTATCATGTTCCATCTTTGCAAGCAAAGAAATAATGGGATGACAAACGAGGACAACCACTACGAAAGTGTGTTGGAAGATCATATTTTGAATGCATCATCCCATATTTTGAATGCATCCTCCCCTACAGTAAAGCTGCCAAAGAGAACTAGAGCATCGAACAAAATACATACACTAACAACGGTACTGTTTGAATTGTGCTCTTCATCCTGCTCCTCGCGCTTTGGATGACGGCGTTCAGGTGTGATGATGAGCTGAAAAGAGGGACCACTGTGACAGGCTAGACCACATTTCTGATATTTCATACAAATACAAATAAATGATTAAGACTGAAGGTAGAGCAACAATCAACCTTTAAAAGCTCCCACCCTCTAATTCCGACTCAAAAACTACTAAAACTGACCCGACCAGCACGCTGCTCCAAATCAGCGACGGCAGGTGGACTGGGCGAGATAATTTCGATACTGTTGCTGCGCCTTCTTTCCTCCTGCTGAAGATACGAGACTTATACGAACAAAAATTCAGCATACGCTTCGTTATATGAGGAAAAAATGACTGGGATCGAGTACAGCCGTTCGTATCTTGATATAGAGGAATGACTAAACTGATTACGTCCACGGTATTGAAAAAGACAACATTTCAGGTATGCCCCGTCAATAAAGCATGTTCTCCATTATTCAGATAAGAAACATACCCTATTCGAACGAGAAGGAACAGCCAAAGAAGTAGAAGAAGAAGTTGCTTGTGCTCCGGTTGGCAGAGGCGGCTGCACTGATCGCTCGGCTCTTCCTGAACGGTCACGGGCTTCCAAATCGCGATCCGTCTCGTAAAGATCACTTCGGAGCTCCTCACGAAGACGCTGTAATCAACAACCATAAATCATTACTGTGCATTGATTCCCTTTATAACTTGCCTCAAGACGCTCTCGATCATTGCGAAAACTATTACGAGTGCCGTGAGCATCTCTGGACCGCTCATGAAGCCTGCGCCGACGCAAAGCACTGCACTGTTGCTGCATAGCCCGCAACTGTCGAGTTCTCCTTTCTAGCATAGACAAAGTCCTGAAAATGTTGGTGTAGAGGATTCTTACCCGCCTTAACTGAAAAATTTCGGGGATTTGGGTCAGCAAAAAATATCAGGGGAGCATTTTTAAGAGAGCATGGTTAACTCCAAGCAATGCTTAAAGGCACCGTCCAACCAAAATTTCGAACTCCATGTTTTTGCCGTTCCAGGGCCTTCTCATACCCCTGATCCCGAATATCAACTCGCGCTGGGCAAAAGTTGCTTCCGAAGCGATGCTTAAAATTGCCCGGATAACAGATTCGCCACGTTGGCTCCTCCCCTTTGGGTGGGCCTGACGTCACGAATGTCAGGCCCACCCAAAGGGGAGGAGCCAACGTGGCGAATCTGTTATCCGGGCAATTTTAAGCATCGCTTCGGAAGCAACTTTTGCCAGCGCGAGTTGAGTATACAGTTGGTGGCCCCTCTACTGTTAGGCATCAAAATCTTATCGACCCCACTTTGAAGGAATGGTACCTTTAACAACCGACTTGTAGCTTCTGCTTATCCCGGAAATAAATACTGCTAGTCAATGCGGAGAATATGTTTGCAAGATAAAAGGCATACTACAGTTAAAGTAGCATGTGTTTTATTCTCCCCCCCCCCCCAAAAAAAAAAGATGAACAAGGAGAGGGTAGGTCCTACAAAAACTTTCTACTAATGCAATACAGTTAAAGTGAGCGATAAACATACCTGGGTACGTCCCTCACGTCTTCGGTAAGGCCCGATGAATTCGGAGTTAGAACGGGTGCGGCTTCACAAGCGCTTGTGTCTCCACCCTAGAAAACTAATCCGCCTTTTATGTAATGATCCAGCAAAAGTAGCATTTGCCGACTAAGAAGTCTTAACTGCAAAAAAACTTTTCTCCTCACCGAACTTCCCCTCTGATCTCTGCTTAAAACTTCCGCAGCAAAAGGATTCAAAGCTGTCCCCTCATAGACCATAGTAGAATTGACAAAATGATTCATTGCTGCATCAAATTCTGCACGAAATTTGTCAAGCACGCCTTTTAAAACGTCCGGAAGCTGAAAGTGATGAAGATAAGCTCGTGAGAAAGGTGATCTCCTGTGAAGACGATGGTATCTTACCTGTTCCAATTTTGTACAAATTTCCTGTGCCATTTGTACCCGCCTTTCGAGCTCATCATGAGAAGTTAGGGTTTCAATTTGCATATCGCCAGCAATAAGCTCGAATGCGCGCAGTACATTGCGCGTGCTCTGCAAACAAGCTTTCTTTTGCACAATTTCCATTCGAACGACGTTCTTATTTGGACAAGTTACTTTCACTCGGTAACATAAGATGTTGTATGACGTTGCACAGACCGAACTGAATGGTCTGACAAACGCAAGCAAACTTGCAGCGTACCTCTTGGAAGGAGCCTTTAGTACTAGCGGTACAACCATCTAGCGCTTGCAGTGCTTGGTCTACAGCTTGATATCCACGACCGGTTGCTTCAGAGACAGAATCTCTACCAACCTAGAACTTTGCCTAACACATGTTTACGTGGATGAGCACTAGAACAAGTGTATCTCACCACAACATCTTGCAGAGTTAGGAAACGTTTCTCTTCAATATCGTGACCATTATGATTTCTAAGACAGCACATCGAACATAGTTGACGCTAAAAAAGCGAGAGAAAGTAAGCAAAAAAGCAGTCGTTTATAGAATGCACAACAAAACTCACTGCAGTTTCATTCTCTGTAGCGCAGGAACGACAAGTGAGATAAACTCCCTTAGCCATGACTTCATCACATACCAGACATTTCGGAAATCCGTTTCCCGCAGCGTCATTGCGAGACACAGTGTTCATTTCAGGAGCCTCAGCTACGTGAGCCACCAGTTCTGAACAGAAAAAGCTAGTGCCGGGCTTATTCGCGGTTGTATGAACAAAACCGCCACAGCCGGGTAGGGGACTATATGTCGCCGAAAAAGGGCGGTCCCCGCGGTCTTGCGACAAATACGCGCCCTTGTACATGCACGGACATGCGTTCCTGCAGGCAATCCGCGCGGGACATCCAAATTCGGCAACATATAGTCAGTCCTCCACCCGCCACAGCCTATTCTCCTAGATGGTTTATGTCATATTTGCCCTCACATAACTATGACACGAATTTTGGTACTGATTTGGGTGAAGAGTGACAAAAGACGAAAGGCAAGTCCCTCTTGACAAAAGTCCATGGTCAAGAGGGACTTCCTATACGTTGATTCTAAGGTCTAGAAAAACATGCTTGATTTCCGGCCCCTCCAATCACCGATCACAAAGCTGCTAGGTTGGTCAAGAGCGTTACTAAATATGGTTGTATTATCGTTTTTTCTCCGAAAACCTCAAGTTTCGAACCCAACACTCTTGTGTGTACTTGTATATTGAGTAGAAAAGTTTGTGAATTTTGGCTCCAATAAAATGGACCCACATATGCGTGATGTACAGCACGGGAGAAGACATCAAAATGTGTTTCGATTTTTTTCCGCTCCATTTAGACTGTTTTTCGACCAACCTTGCAAGCGGTAATTGACAGGCAATCCTTCGGGTGGGACCTTGGTGGTTTGTCGGCATTCCGGGCACTTGATGGTAACATCGTTATACGGTGGTGGTCCACGGTTGAATGGCATATCTCCCATATCCTAAAAATCAAGGGTTGGACGAACGAAAAAAAGGTCTTAGCTGAACAACAACCAACATGCTTCTCCGCAATTACCGCAACTTTCTTTCATCTATACTAGAGAAGCACAAACCTCATGGTTTCGATAGTTGCGCATTGGGCGGGGCACGCCTCCCAAGCCTGGGTACATCAAAGGTGGCGGCGGAGGTGGTGGTGGTCTCGGAGGAAGGTGTGGCCAAAGATCATCTTCGAAACGATTGAGCAACTAAATGTACAAGCATAATCTAACACTGCACATCAATCATTGTTACTCCCAAATTTGTCTGGTTAGGAACTAACGAAAAGCGGTAGAGTCACATCTATACAAGTGGATGGCAAAACATACATGGAAATTCGGATCTTGACGATTCATCGGAAACGCGAATCTTCTGAGCCCTTCCAAAAAATTGTCATTCCGGTTGTCTCGCGCTTCGGCTATCTGAAATTAAGCCATACATTGGAGGCTAGTAGCATTTTTACAACTAAGACATATAAGATAAGGAGTAAAGGAGACACAAGCGCTGGGACAAGCAGTTGGTTCAAACAATCAAAAGATTTTTTTCTAGACAGAAGCTTTATGCATCTAATTTTCCAAGTTGATAATATGGGTTTAGACTAAGCCAGGATACGATTGCAGCTGACTTGATAATTGTTCAAGCTTCAAGAACAGCCCTTGCATTGAACAACAACTGTACTAACTATATTCTTCAGAAAAGAGATGTGAGCGTTTTACACAGGTTCCTAACTTACTCCTGAACCCCTTACTCGCACCCCAGCACGATCACTGCTTGCGTTAGCCCTCGCGCATAGTTCATGCAGTTTCATGGCCGCGACTCTCCCAACAAGACATATATTAATAGTCCATTTCATGTCGATCCTCCTACATTTCGGTTGTGATAATTTTCCGACACGACTAATTGTGACTAAGTATCACAACCGAAATGCAAGTTGATCGACATGCAACGGATTCGTAAAAGTTGTCTAGTCGGGAGAATCGCGGGCGACGAAAACGAGTGAACTATTGAGGCCCCAGACATAAGTACCTAAAGGTTGTAACAGTGCCGCATCCAGAGCAAAGTAAAGTAAAGTAGGTAAAGTAGTTAACTTGTTAACTAGTTAACTAGCATTCGGGTCTAATAAGAAGATGGTCAGAAGTAGGACGGGCGTTCCCTATAAAAAGCTGCACATTATTGTTTAAAACGCGGATTACAAATCTGCTACTCTGCTGCAGACACCTTTGAGCAAAGTGATAAATACTGAAAGATGTATATGCAAAATGCTCGGACATGAAGTTGCATTTTGCACCCATTAGCGTATACTCCTTGAAGACAAAAGGCTATGAGGGTTCATCGCTAAGAAATGTATGCATTTTTGAGCTCTCTAAAGACAAAATTTCTTTCCATCAGGTTATATTCTCAAAAGGCAAATCTGGATCAGCGCTTTATGCTGCATCGACCTTCTCGAAAATTGCAATTCGACCTCTGACCATTCCCCTGTTGTTCACAGGAAAGTATGCAACATTCAAGGAAAATTCTGTTCAAGAATTGCTCGCAAAAAGTAACTCACGAGTCTATCTACACATGTAGTGCAAAATGAATGTCCACAGTTAAGCTGCAGAGGTCTTTCGAAGCGTACGCAGCATATAGGACACTCCGTTAGATCCAACAATTCTGATCTTCCAGACGTTCCAGGTGTGCGTGTAGATGAAGCTGACATCTGAAAATGAACACATGATGTTGGAAGATATAAATGGCGGAATCAGCTGCCTTGCCACCAAGTAAGAAAAACAATACGAAAATTGGGGCGCTTAGTAATACCCGGTGCTAATTGTGAAATACTTTCGTACGGTATTGGGAAATCAGTGTTAACACGGAACAACGGGATTTACGAGAGGTTGTGGGAGCACTTTGAGCGCGAAAAGGAGTTTGCGTAAAAGAAACATAAGCCATAAACTTTATTTTGAGGTGAAGGGAACATTGTTCTATTGTTCCTATAAGGATCTGCCAAAGGTTGGTGAGTTGCCGCATTGCACGCAGGATGCCAAAAGGCCTCAACCCAGTAGAACAACTCGTACTTTTCAAAGTCGCTTCAGGTTATAAGCATATCTGATAGCAGCAAAGCGTTTAATGGGAGAAAGAGTATAAGAGAGCTGGATGGGCGGTAAGTGACCGCAAATTCACCGACCTTCATGGTCACGCAAAGCACTTCATTCCTGCTCTGCGTCTTTGACCTGCAGTATGCCTCACTGACATGTTGGGGGCACGAAACAACATGTTGGCGTTCAGGCTAACAGCCAAAAAGTTTTGCCGAGTTGTCGCATATCACCAACATGTTGTTGCATGCGTGCCTGTAACCATCCGTGTCGCATACTAGAGACGCAGAGTAGAGGTAGCAATAATTGTGGAGAGGACGATAGTAGCCGTAGCGTTAGCGTCGAAATATGTTTGCTTTTCACAAAACTGCTACTTAACCGCTTCAATGAAGTCTATCCCTACAGTCAGCTGGAAGCACACAGGAAGTAATCTATGAGTTGGGACTATAAACGCATCACTCAAGAGTTGACACAAGCTAAGATTGAGCGGGATTAGAGCTAGGTCTTGCAGTCCGACGCGTTGTAAGCAGCTGTTGACCTTCACTTCTTGGCGCAGCCTTGAAGGAGCTTAGTTACACAACGTCGGATGTGGATAGTAGATATCTAGATACATTCTGTGACAAGGGAGACTCTCTTTGCGCTTGTGTATGAACAAGTTTGATCATATGATTTGCGAGTTTGCACCTGTGATCTATCTCATTTAGGTTAACTCACTAAAACAAAAACTACGGAAAGATATGTTTGATTTAGAATTTCTTCGTGAACAACATCCACGATTAGGACGGTTTCCACACAAGTCATCGCGATTTTTTTGAATCTTCAATGATATACTCTACTTATAGATAAGTCTGCTTCTTTTTAATCTTCCTCACTGCAAAATTTTGTGACTGAAATAAACTGCCAGATTAGGTTGAATAAGCAAGGTTGTAACTTGAACAGTCCTCTTTCAAAAGCTTAATTTCTACTTCAAAATTTTTTTGTTCTGTAAGAAACTGTGAAGATGAGGATTTCTTTAGTATTAGGTTGGTCCGAAAGTTCTGTCGCACTAATTTCAAAAATCATAACTTCTTCATATCACAATGTTTTGCATGAATTCAACTTCATTAGAAAGAGTAAGGCGCACAGTTTACTTTTTTGGTCCCCTCTTTCTAGCTGAGCAAAATTCGCACTAATCGAGCTTTTCTTAAAAAAGTTATGATTTTTGGGAAAAAATACCAAAAAATCAATTCTCCTAAGAAAGTGGTTTTTTGGCATTTTTTCTCAAAAATCATAACTTTTCAAAGAACAGCTCGATCAGCGCAAATTTTGCTCAGCTGAAAGAGGGGTCAGAAAGTCTACGATACTTGCTGCTTAGGATTTTATGGCACAGTTTTGGAATTTTCAAAAGGCTTGCCTCAAAATTCCGAACTCGAAGTCATTTCCTTTTCCTAATTTTATCTCTGCGTTTAAAGAAGAGGTGGCAGCCAAGGTGATTTTAGAAAATGCATGATTTGCATTTTTCAATAAAATTTTTCATGCAAAGTGTCGTGATAGAAAGGAGTTAGGGTTTTTTGAAAATGGTACGACAGAACTCGGACCAACCTAATATAAATCGGCAAAGCTCTCCAAGGAGTAAGCTGTAGGTTAAACTTGATTTTGTATATACAAGCGCTTCATCCCACGTTCTTGCACTAATTTTTGTGGATATTATATAGTTGATTCGAAATTCCAAACAACATGAGGACTTCCGTAGGCTTATCTACTTTTAGGGTGAATGATCAGCAAACTGTGCACCATAATCAAAAAAAGTTCGGTGGAAAAAAACTAACTTTTCGAAAAAAATCACTGAAATCTCAAAATCTTATCAACAGGATATAGTTTATCGACTCATCTATCCATGAAATACATACCAGCAGTACAGGGAGCAGTTCCTGCATTAGTTTTATTGAATGATGACGCATTAATAGGCTCCTCATATTGTGAAGCGCGAATACTTTAGCAGTCATGGGTAGTCAAAACCTTTTTCGTGTTATCGCGGTTATGTAATTGTGAGCACCTATGATAGCAACCATGTTTTTCCTAACAAGAATAGTACAGCCAAGCTTGTATTTCTTTGAGCTATATGCAGAATGGATGAGGGTTAGCTAGTTCTTTACCTGAGTGTGTAGCGGTGTCTTACATAGGAGTAACATATTAATCATTCTATACATAAGACAAAGTGAAAGGAAGTGGAAGGTAAGCAGCTAGGCTGCACGAAGCAGAGGAGGCTGCATTGCCAGCGGCGGCGGCATGGACTTGATATATGGTGGCCGAGGTTGGCATACGGACAGTTGGTACATGCTTCCGGTGGCAAGGTTCATCCAACGATTACACGGCCACATCCTAATAGCAGAATTGAATCAAGGGAGAGGAGCATTCTATTTGTGCGACGTCATTTTCTAGGATATTTGTTGGTTTGAGACACGTATTTTTGAATTTATAAAGTAGTTTCCGTTGGAAAAATGGAGTGGAATACACAATCAACGAATCCAACTAGTTATATCAAAAAACGCTTTAGCGGAAAATATCTCTTTTATCGCCCTTGGAGACATAACTTTTGAGAGGATCTCCTTGTCACTACCGACAACTCGTTTCCTGAATTTTTGTCCATCTTTGGACTAGAGCATTACGTAGCTCTAGGATATTCCATAATTATTATAGAGCTCTTGGAACTCAAAATATTCTAACCTCACATCAGCAGGCTTCAAAATGTTTTCACAAAGGTGTAATCCTAAAGAAACAGCCAACAAATACAATTTTTCCAGTCAAGCTTTTGCAGCATTCTATACTACCTATAGTCATAAATGGATTCATTCTCTAATGTGCGATATAGACTAGTGAGCAAAAAAACTTTCTACAGCATTGCAACAAAAAGGAAGAAATTCGATAGCGTGTGTGCTTTTTATTTTGGTTGGAAGCAACTGAGACGTTTTCCAGAGAAATTTGCTGGAAAAGCTTGAACTGCGCTTCTGAGATATGCATTTTTTTCGACCTTAAGTTTAAGGTGAGCTGTTGGCCTACATAGGTTTCGTACAACTTTATTTCTCTTTCCTGCAAAATGATAAGGCGTTCCCAAAGGCGGACGTTTTTCTCTTAGAGGCTTTGACGAGTGGAGTTGGCAAACGTTAGCGCCAATTGAAACTTCTATATGTTGGTGAAGTATCAGACCTTTTACAATCTTGCCATATTTGCGGTATACTTTTACAAAGTATACCGCAAATATGGCAAGACTCACCGAAGGTCTTTCAGGAATTTGGTATGCGTTTTGTTGTGCTAAAAGCTTATTTGAAAATAAACTGTAAAAAGGATTCTACAATGCTCATACTTTTGGAACGTCACTGTCAAGCAGGTTGGTTACCCCTGCCCCAGCCCTAACTGCTCTATCAACATTTAGATGGAATGTTTTCCTCAAGTCAGCTTGGACGGTTGTAAATTTGATCGACTAAACCATACCCTGCGCGAATTTTTCGCAACTTAACACATTCACGACAATACGACCCACCGTGGGTTGTAAGTGTTCTGCCATTTCGGACGATACGACCCAACGATGGGTCGTAACATTCCTGGAGCTCTAGGTTTGCCAGTTTACGATGGAATTCTATGGAGTTCTGGCACATGATTGAGGACAACCGGGCGGGTGCGTAGCAAGTGGTACCCGGGCAGCCGACTGCTGACGCAGCCAGCCGCCAGGGCTGGCGTCAGCGCAGCCGGATATGGTAGGAACTACGCAGCAGCCTGAAATTCTCCGCCGAGAGATTTCTTCGCACCTCGTCACGCAGAGCTGCGATATCAGCCTCAGGGACAGCGCGATAATATCGATCTTATATATCAATATCTATATTATTTTAAACAGCAAAAAATTCCTAGTTTATTGAGAACCATGCAAACATTTACAAAACTACATACAAGCGACAAACCTCCAAAATCCGGCAGACAATTACAACTACAAAAGTGAATAAATGAAACTAAATAGTTTTTTTGTCACAAAATTGAACATCATAATGCAATAATTACCAATTGATCTTTTGATCTTTTCAATTTTGGATCGTTTTTTGTGTTTTGACAGTTCTAAAAATTGCTCAAAAATAGAAGTATAGACAAGCAAAAAATCCGGAAACCTCATAAGCTACACGGTTAGCTTTGTCCTTATGTCTATCTAAAGGTATGCAGTTGTGACTTAAAAAACATGGATCTTGTCTTCTATCATACACGATGACCGACACCTTGTTCACTTACCTCAAGTTCCCCTCGGGGAACTTCACTAGTTGAAGTGTACAGCTGGAAGGGCAGAGGCAACGAATTCTAAAATATTAATTTTTTTCAGAGTTCTATAGGCGCCTCTAATAGAGCCAAATCATGGAGTATCTGAAGAAGCGATGAATTCTCCACGTTCCCATACGCTTGTTGAGCCTGAGGCTCATGTTGAAGGCTATATAGATCAGATATTTTGGTCATTGGTGACCTACTCTATTGTCTTTTATATCAGCATCAGTAACCTACTCAATTTTTGACACGGAAAACAAACCTTTCTTCTCACTTTGGACCGTCCGTCCTCCTCTTTTTTGAATTTTAAAAAACAAAATTTTTGATAACTAAACATTTTTTAAATTTTGAATTATTTCACCTTCTGGTCATTTTAAGAATGAATTTTTGGACCATTTTCTTCTAGAAAACTTTACTCTGTGTAAATTTGTTTATTTTCATTTTATCAATAAACTAGGAATTTTTTGCTGATTAAAATGATATAGATATTGCTATCATTATTGATAATATCGCGCTATCCCTGAGGCTGATATCGCACCTCAACGCGACGAGATGCGAGGAAACCTTTTGGCGGAGAGGTATCAGACGGCTAGCGTAATTATTCTACCATATGCGGCTGCGCTGACGCCAGCTCCGGCGGCTGGCTGCGGCAGCAGTCGGTTGTCTGGGTACCACTTGCACGCCTCCCCACCCGGGCAGAGCTACAGCAAGACTGGTCCTTGCTCGGGATCCTGTAATGTAATGTTACAGTAGGTACACCGATAGAGATAAGGCACAGATTTGAGCTTAAATTCTTTGCAGAATGATGCTGTTTCTGGAAACTCAAGTGACATGCACGGGTAAATACGGGGCGGGCAAGAGACTGATGTTAGTCCACCAGGGAATTCTCGATGTTATTAATTTTATTGATTTTTTACATTGTTTTCCAGAACTCCATTATTACATATACAGATTTTTCAGCATGCCAATTACGAAAATGATAGTCTCGAGTTTTAATACACCCTTCTTACATAATTTTTTTTGTTTTCTACGGAAATTCTACTACTGTACTGCTACCGTAGCCCCACTGTGGGACAGTAGTGAACAATGTGGACACTATAATAGTGATCAGCACCTGAAGTAACTCCAAAACACGATTTTTCTTGAATATCCATGGTGTTGGATTCGTACAGAATGACCACCGTAACCTTACCGTACAACTAGCTGGCTTACCCGGCTCCGCCCGGCCCTGTCAAATTTTGATGAAGTTCCATTCCCTTCCCTGTACAACCTTTCCCTGTGCCAACTTCTACATGCAATTTCCTATTTCCCCTGTGTTAGTAGTCATCATGCTCACTTACCCCCCTCCCTGTGCCAACTCCCAGCCCCGTAGCTCATACTTTGCACAAAAAATCGGTAAAATCGATAGAAGTAATGGATAACTCTATCCAGCCCCGTTAGCTCAACTTGCAAAAAAGCCCGATAAAATCGATAAAGCTAATGTATAATTCTAAAAATTACCCTAATTTCACGCGTATAAAGCGCACTTTTTCGAATTTTCAGGCTAGGCGCTCACCCGCTTCACTGCATTCCGCAAAGAAATCCTTACATAGCGCGATTCTCTCAAGCAATATATAGCACGTTATAGAGTCCTTTGGTTGTAAAGTCCTTTGGCTTGTCTGGGCTGGTCGATTATGGAAAAAAAATCCCCCCCGCCTTGTGCGCGTGAAATTAAGGTAATATTGTATTCGTAATCAGCATGCTCGATTAACCCCCCCCCCCCCCCCCCCCTGTGCCAAATCCCAGCCCCGGAGCTCAAACTTTGCAAAAAAATCGACAAAATCGATAAAAGTAGACGACAATTTAAAAAACTAATATAGTATTCGTAATCAGCATGCTCGATTACCCCCTGTGCCAACTCCCAGCCCCGTAGCTCCAACTCAAAGAATCGATAAAATCGATATCGATTGATGACGAAAAGTAGCCTATGATACCCGCCCGGCCCCGAAATATATGTGTGCCAAGTTTGGTCCGGATCGGTTCAGAAATGGAATTTTCTATTCGGAACATACGTACATACAGACAATACAGACTTACAAACAGACATTCAGCTATATATATAAGACTAGCGACCCTACGGGTCGCTAGCAAGTGGGTCGGGGCAGATACAATGTAAGGATAGTTGTGACTATAATTATTTTTAAATAAGTTTCCTACTCCTTTTCTGAGAACTTTTTTGCGAAAAGCATTCTACAAAAGGAGAATTGCTCGAAGAAGTTATGATCTCCACAAATCATTCAGCATTTCTCGAAATTCCTGCTACATCCGTGCATGGAGAATATTATTTTTTCTCGTTTACCATGCTCTTTCTGCAAATTTCCCTCCTCACAGAGACATTCATATAAAAAAAAAGAACCCCACTTTTCTACCCTCTCAAAGAAAATTTGCTCTTCCAGTTCTTTTCAACAAGTTCCATAAAAGATCATTGAGTAAGTAGCAGAACACTATCGGTTTAAAGTAGAGATACACCCATAACAAATATGTATACTACAAAAAACACTTTTCTCAGAATCAATTCCGACAGCAAAGAAATCAATCGTCTAAGAACTCTGTCAGAAAATCCTTCAATTTTTTGCCGGAGTATGTAGCTTAACTACAAAAGGAGATCCCTCCGCAAAAAGCACGACTACTGAGCCACCTAAAGCCCGTCAACCATAAGAACTGCACAAACGTAAAATAATTTCCATGTCCGATCAAACTGCCCTACGTGCCGCTTACAAACCAGTATTATCTTTAGCGACCCTACGGGCCGCTAGCAGTGGGTTGAGGCCAACACATTAGTGAGTCAAGGCTACACTTATTTGCACGTTAACAATAGGCTCTCGTTTTTCAAAGCGTCCAGTTTCCACAGTAAACAGTGGATACTACTAAACGATGACCTTCAAAACATAGACATTTGAAAAAGAACTATCTGTTTCATGTTCCAGCTTACGGTGAAACAAACGAGACTATTAAAAATATGCGGCGTTGTTTTTGAGCACCTATAGTCTGATCGAAGTTATATCGGATTACCTATGGGTTATTCGGAAAGTTCTGCTTTTTTTCACAAACAAGGCTTCCTCAGCAAAGCAATCAAAATTCAAGCGCGCTCCCCTGAAGTTTAAGCAAGGGTACTATGATACGGTACAGTTGAAAGTTCTAACAAAAGATTCAAGTTTCTTACAACTCCGAATTTCTGTCAAAAAACGAAGCCCCTTGAGCATCCTTCAGTTTTCTTACTAAACAAACAGAGACTATATAATACTACAAAATCCATCCATGCATACAAATTTCTTTGATGCTCTGAGGCCTTCTTGTGAAAAGTGATAAGGCCTGCTCCCACTCGAAATCAAAAAGTGCATGCATTTCATTCTAAGTTTTAAGAAATCCGGCCAGAAGTGAGGCGGAAACCCCTTTCTTGTTGATAGTCCAAACTGAAATTGTAAGAAATTCCCTCACTTTCAGACACCATTTCAAAGTGACTTTCCAGATTTCGCGGGACCCTTTAGATACCCTTTCATTCCTTTTGGAGA